TTCACAAGGGAGTTAATTGTCCACGGATTCCTACATGTGACCTCTACTTATGGAAGCTATTACGAGCCACTGTGATGCTACAGCGGAGAATAAGATGAAATTCCTGAACTCCCTGAATATATATCTCATGAAGATCCAATGAGCTTTTATGCCAAGAAATTCTGAGCTCAGAGAAGTGAGGTAACTTGTTAAGCAACACAGCACAGCAGAGATTCAAGCCTACTCCTCTGGCCTCCTTCTCACCGCAGTGGATCCACAAAGAATGGTTCTGCTCCACTTGGCACAACTTCTCGCTGCTCTGCTTCAACCCCTGGTTGTTAGATTCCTAGTTAAAGGCAGCTGATCCAGTCTAAGGGTGCTCGTGCACTAGCATTTACTAGCAAATTCAAACTAATGGTGCTGGCAAGACTTCCTACCCGCAAGCAGCAGAAAGTAGCCCTGGTTACCTTCAGCAAAAATGAATCTGGTGGAAGAATATAAGGATGTGGGGAAGCTCCAGGAATCAAAGACAAAGCTCAATAGCCAGGCCTCGAAAGACAGAACAAGGAGGGTGTCTGGGCGCCGGACCCCATGGGAGGAACAGCGTCCGTCACCCGCGGCTTCCCATTGCACGTCTACATCCTCACACCATCTTTTCTGCTTCCTGTGACTTCACTCAAGGCTCAAATTCTTAATTGATTGGCTAAACCTCCAGCCCATCTCTGACCTCTGACCTCCTTGCAGGTTTGTCTCATCCTGGGGAAGCAGCTTTCCCAAATGGGAATCAGGTGCTGTTGCCAGAAGCAAGCCGTGGGGGCTCAACTAGCAATGAGAAGCCCCCATGTCGATAACAGTTACCAGATAGGTGGAGTCGGAGTCAAGAGAAACCCGAAGGGCGGCGAGGGGGCCCATTTTCCAGACACAGTTGCACCAACATACTGGGTTGTCGGAAAAGTCATGATGTATTTTTTCTGTTTTCTGTGCAAAAATGCACAGAAACACTCCAGCTTCATTCTGGAAACACTCCAGCTTCATTCCCCAGTACACTCAGCTCCAGGTGGGCCTAGAAGGCCAGGGATGGGGACCCAGATCTTCCCTGAAACATCTGTGACCTTGACCATGAAGACACTAAAAGACCATTTACTCATAAGGAGGAAACACAAGGCCGGCTCTAAAACCATGCAGAGGAGAAGGGGGTGGCAGGTGTGTTTCTCGACATAAAAATGCTCTAATGAGGAAAACCCGCCAACCATTAAGGTGGTGCTTGTGCTTGCTGAGCAGAATCCGGAAAGTATCGGGGCTTTCTGAGTGTTCAGAACTTGTGGCAAAGAAGAGAAAGGTGAGTGGATTTTTCTTTGTTGCATTAGAAACTCAAAGAGGGATTGGGAAATCGTGACTTCCAAGGCGTCGGGCTTCTGTGGACAGCTGGGCCTGGAGATGACATCATCTGGCATGCGTGAGAAAGCCTCCCTTCAGCAAAAGTGATTTGCAGGAAGGGAATTTCTGTACTCTGCGTGTGGGCAAAGGAAACCAAATGTTCCCTGGCAGTCACGCTCCGTTACAGGTAAAATAGGGTTCCAGCCTCAACCTCCCTCAGGGAGAAAAAGAATATGAAAGCAGACCAGGCCACATCACTTTTCCCAAATGAGATCCACCTGTGACACACTGGGCGGAATGTAAGGAAACCCTCTGAGCTGTGCACGGAGATTTACACACACGCATATCACATCCTCACGGACAGCGTCAAAATTAGACACAATCCACAACGTCACAAGGGTGAATCAGTTCTGCTTGTGGGAAGCCCACATCTGGGACCCTAGGAAAGTGTTGGCAAAGACCTGTTAGTGGGTTGAGGGGATTTCACAATATACATATATGTCAGGGAGCAAAGATGCCGCGTGCGGTGGCCAGTCTGCAGAAAGTACAGGAACACTGACACCCACACTGCCCCAGGCGGGCAGAGGAACAACAGGGCACTTTCCATGCTCGGCATCTCAGAGCCTCTGCATCGGCAGCAGGAAAGGCCACCATGTCACTACAGACCCAAGCCAAGACGCCGTTATCAGAGCCGATGGGCATCAGCTAAGGAAGGGGAGAAAAGGTCGCCCACCAAGAAACTGGAGTCAGAACACTGTCAGAATCCGTCCCGGTGAAGGAGCAAAATCAAGACATTTCCCGGTATCCGCAGCGTCCGAGAGTTGACTTCTATGTGCTGAGACGTTGCCGACGTCACGAGTCAGCCAAGAGGAATTAAGAAAAAGATGGGGCGTTTAACTCAGGCCAAAGGCAGCATAGCCAGAGACGTTTCTGGGCCCGGAAGAACCCAAATCCAGCTGGGGACAGGGCCAAAGTGCTCCTGGAGGGCGGTGTTCAGGGACTGAAGGCACCTGCGCGGCTAGTCCCTGGAGGGAACTCATGTCCTCAGCAAGGCAACACAATATGGGAAGTGTTACAGGGCCATGTCCGGGTATCATTCCTAAGGTTAAAAACTGAGCCCCCACTCCTTGCCCAGCAGGCAAGCTTGTCTTCTGGCACCTGCTTTGTGTGTGAGCGCAGACCTCACAAACTAAGGAAGTTTTCGTTTTTGTGTGTGCTCTTAGGGTCCAAGAGCAATTGAGCCATGTAAAGGCAGGACTGACCACAGTGCAGGTTTTCTAGGATCCCATGCAGACTGGCTAAAGGAGGAGTCAGAGTCCTTAGTGGCTTTTGCAGGTCTTTTATTGGGGCTCACCAGGCATCTGGTAGGCAGGGGTGCTGGGGGGCCAGGAGGCTGGAGGGCCGGGAGGCTGGCAGGCCTCCCAGCCCCCAGCAAGTTTTCACTCTCTGGGCTCTCCGGCCTTCTCTCGGCTTCTCTTTCGGCTTCTCCTTAGGCTTCTGCTGGTGTCCCTGTGACACCACCCTTAAAAAAGCCCAGTCTTAGCCCATGTGAATCCCATCTACCTAGGCCCACACCCTGTTCCAGGTGCCGCCATCAGGCATGCATTCAGGACCGCAAGGATCCATCATCTATCCTGATGGCAGGAGGGCAGAAAAGCCTGACATTTTTCCTTACCCTATAAGCCATTTAGCATCAGCCTCAATTCCCTGACTGAGGGGCCCGCAAGGACCCTGACAACAAGGCAGCCCAGGTGGAGAGCATCCCCAGCTGCCTGACCCCCGTCCTGGCTCGTCACCTCCGTGACCACACAGGCAGGCTGGACTCAGCCACCCACGAGGAGGGGTAGATGGTCTGAGACACAGACGCAGTCAGCGTTTGCATCAAGCTAGAGTTCCACAAAGTCTCCACAAAGGTCCTCGTGGGGGGACCGCATCATGGGGGAGGGGTGGACAGCCTGCAAGTTCAGAATCAACCCTGATTGGCGGCCAGTCCATGAATTGGCAAGTGCTAAACACATGAAGCTTCAGACTCCCTCCCTGCCAAACCAGGCTGAGGCCGATGGCCTTGTGGCTGCCTCCTGTACAAAGGAGTCCCTGCCCTGTTCCTAGACGCTCCTACCGCTGGGTCTCTAAGGAATCTGCCTTTTCAGGTAAATTCCTGAAGTGAGTGTTTAAAGAAAGACTCCAGCTGGCTGTTATTATCTGATGCAGATAACTTTTTGGATGTGTAGCAATCATTTTCATTTGTAAGGTGGGTAGATTTTATATATCTTTATCTAGCTACTAGGAGAAAACCCTTTAAAGCTTCAAGATGGGATTTTTAAAACATCTTTATAGACAGAAAAAAGCTAAAGTTTAACCTTCAAGGAAAATAAAAGCAAACACAAAGTCTATACTACAACACACACAATGCCAAAAAAGAGAACGATAAGACTGAGGCTGGGATTGCAAATGTGTGACCTTGACATCAATTGTTTGGGCAGCAGAAAAAAGATTATTTTCATTTGTGTTGGTAGAGGAAGCCGCATCCTATCATTTCACAAAATCCATCCTCATCCACACGCTGCCAGGAAGACTGAAATCCCATTATTAGGGACGTCTCATCCATCCATCCATTCATTCATTCATTCATTCTCTACAGATCTCTACCCAAGAGATCACCGCATGCCAGGCTCTGAGTGCAGAAATGCTCGGCTCTCCCATGACAGGCATCTGCTTTGTGACAGTGAAAAAGACACATACTCGTCACCCAATAGAAAGTAAATTTCATCTGGAACAAGCTGAAAGAGGAAGAAGAATAGGGGAAAATAAGGCTCAATTCAAAGACAAACAAGTAAAAAGAAAAAACCACAAAGGTGTGAGCCATGTTATTTTTGTGATTTGAGGCCAAGAGCAAGCACAGAACCAGGGGACTTGACCTTGCCTGGGACGTTGGAGAAGGCAGGGCAGGGAGGTAGATGGTCTCTGAACTGCAACCGTAACCAATGGGCCAGGAAAAGAAGGTCTCCCCCACACACCCTGGCACAGGCAAATGGGGTGAGAGGAATAATGCAGGTACCTTCCTGATGCCCATCCGTGTACCTGCTCCCACAATCCCCTGGTTTCCCTGCCGATGGCCCAGGCCAGGTCTGTACAGGTGAGCAGCACAGGCAGGGGGCATCTTCCAGAAGGAGATGAGCAGAATGGAACTCCCACAAGCATCGTCTCATCATTCATCCAGACTTCTCTTTTACAGACAGCAATTCAAGGCCAGGAGAGGTTGAGACGTTTGCCGCAAGCCAAGTAGCAATTTAAGACCTAGAAGTGGGTTCCTCTGACCACCTCCCACTGACAGAGCACGTGGCAATTCACGAACCCCACGCCCTATTGGAGCAGGTAATACTGCGCCCCTTTTATAGAGGGAGCACAGGGCAGGAAGCAACTGGTCCAAATCACACAGCCAAGAGCTTGGCAAAACCAGCACCAGGTGGAACCCTCATGCCCTGCCTAGCCTCCAGGGCGCCTTCATTATGTCTTGCAGCCACCTGCAGGCACGAATTTGGAGCAGGGACCCAAGGAAGGCAAGAGGCCGGGGCGTGGGAGCAGCCTTGGGAGGGTTTTCACCTGCTCCCCAGCCTGGCAGGGACGCGCCGGGTTCTGTCTCCCCTGCAGCCCACACACTTAGAACTTCCTGCTCATGCCCCGGGGAAGCTCTTGTGAGTTGCACAGTCTAATGTTGCCAAACTAAATTGGGGCTGGAAATCTGTACCTAGAGGGATCATTTTCCATCCGCCTTATGCTAAGTAGCGAGAAAGCTTTGCAGGAGGAAGGCAGATCCCTCTGAAAGAGCTGGCAACCTGTGGCTTCTCGGGGTGAATGTGAGTGTGCAGCGTGGGCACGGTGCTGTCAATCCTGCAGACACAGGGGAGTCGGGATGCAGCTAATCATCTGCCCCATCCCGTTCACTATTGATCATTTTGGTGTGACTTTATACTTTGTAAGTTGGTAGCCATCATCCTTTTGAATGAAGCGCTGGCACCGAGCAGATGGAGGACCCCGACTGCAGACCAAGAGCGCGGCCTAGTGGCCAAACTAGAAGATGACACCTTCATCTTAGATCATCCTGCAGCACCCACCTCTCTCTTGGTGGGAAGTGGAATTCTGGAGAGGCCCCCTGCAGCCCAGGCCAGCATTCCTGCTCCACTGGCACGTCCTGTTATGTGCCGTAGGGACAGCCAAGTTCACAGGCCCGCTGGCCAAGAAGACATGGGCCTTGGCTCAAATGTAGCTCAGAGAATTCAAGCAGGAACTGAGAAGCCAGAGAGAGAAATCACAATCCCAGAACCTCAACCATTCATAATCATCACAAATCTCTAGCAGTTCTGCCACATGTTCAAAATTACCTCCATCCTCTGGAAATTCTGAAAAGTAAATTAAATCCATCAGGATAATCCTCCACAGAGACCATCGTCTTTGTCTAAAGCATCTGTTCCCCTCTCTTCTGAGGTCACACACACAGTCTGGTGAGGTCTGCAGACTCATTCTCGCAGAAGGTACCCTGCATTGGACACAGCAGCAGGCTGCACAAAGCTGTGGGGTACCCCGGCTCCCTGGTGTCCCTCCAAACACCCAGCTCAGAGTCCGTGATCTCGACATTCTTAATCACTTGGAAATCTGTGCTTTATAGCACTGACATAAAGGTAAGTGCAACCCCTCAATAAAATAAGAAAAATATTCAAGCACCCACAACATACTCAGAATAGCTCATCTGTGAGTCGGCGAGGGATACAGAGCACGAGGTGCATCTCTGCTGTAGACACCCGCAGTGCTTGTCAGATACAAAGAGCTCAATCCATGGTTTCTGTTGTCAACATTGTAGTCAGGATGAATTATTTAATCCAGTCAGCAAAAATTTACCCATCACCTACTGTTTGCCACCTGGCAGATACTAAGGACTGGGGCCAGAGACCATGGTTGCCAAAGTCTGGTCCTAGGAAAGCAACAAAGATATCACCTGGGGGTGTGTTAGAAATGCAGGATCCCAGGCCCCTGCCTCTGCCGACTGAATCAGAATCTGAACAGGACTCCCAGGGAATTCATAGATACTTGAAGGTTCGAGAAGTCCTGCTGTTGATTGTGAAGAGAGAGGCTAGATCTTAAAAAGTAGTCTTGCTTCATGGTCAAGGTGGAATCAGGTCCCAGCTTGAAGCAAACCCACTTTGTTCTGCAAAAGGTCCCTTGTGTGTCCCTGCTGTGCAATGCACCTGCTTCCCTGCAGGAGGCGCCAGGGCCCTGTGCTCTGTGACCTCACAAAGGTTGTCCCTCTCTGCAGACAAGGCTGGGAGAAAGTGCACAGTTGTCGTGGGGCCAAAGGGGCCTCCTGGGAACAAAAGGGCCCATGAATTCCCAGATGTTCCTTTTGGAGAGTCAGTGTTGCTGGAACTTCTCAACACACTCAGTGGCTGCAAAGGGGTCTCCTGGCAGGAAGGCCCCCAGGAGAGCCACAGCACGAGGCCATGCTGGGGCAACATGGTACAAGTCTATTTCCAGGGGATAAACCACACCCCAGTTCTTCTATGCATAAATAAATCTTTAAAAACAATGAGAGAAGGTGCAAAATCCACTTAGGAAGCTGGGGTGCAGCCACACCAGACCAGGCAGGCTCATTGTTGGTTGGGGCAGACAGAAAAGAGAATCTGGAGCCCTCGATACATCTGACAGGCTCCAGTGGCAATCCTGCAGGCTGACAAGGCAGGTGGGGGCCGGGTAGGAGGTGGGCATTGGGTGGCAGGTGGGCAACATAGCATCCCAGCCCCACACGATTACAGACACATAGGCAGGCCAGTCTCCGGGGAGCATCCTCAGCCTGTGAAGTTAGTTGGGTGGCAACAGAAAGCAAGGATTTGTGCTTTGGTCTCAGCTCTAGGGTGACTCCTCTGGGGCCCAGAGGAAGGACAGACTAGGAGAGAGACCAAAGGCATTTTGGAGGGAAAATAGACTATTCTTAGCATTGAAAGAGCGAGAAAGACAAAGGCGGGGTGCACACATCTCCTAATTTTCAAAGCTCCTGGGTTTGAAGCCATTTGTTCAAGGGCAGATGGACAGGAGGAGAAAGGCTGTGCAGGGTGGAGGTCCCTGCAGATCTGCAGGTGGCTTTTCTCTGGCACTAAGACTCTGTCTTTCCTTACTTTGCACCCACCTTGCAGTCCAGTAAGAATATGCTGTGAAACCTCAACTGTGCCCAGGAAGATCTGGGAGCAGGCAGAGCTCCCAGGAGGTGCCACCAGCCTGAGTCCCAGGTACCTGTCAGCAAGGATCACAGGGAAGGCGAGCGTGAGATCCACCAGGTCTGGGTACCATCGCTCCATGGCTCCATCATGCTTGTGTCTGATAAGAAGTCAATTCAACAAACATTTCAAAAACCTACTATGTACCAGGTACTGAGCACCACACCAGTGAATGAACAATGACCCTCACAGTTGAAAGAAACATGCAAACATGAGTTCATTTGTGTGTCAAGTGATGTAGCATAGGATGCAATAACAGCACGTAATAGAAGCTATTATGTGGTGCTGTGGGAATTTTAAGGGGGGAAATGTGGCCTAGCTTAGCCTTAAGTTTAGAGAGCAGGGACAGAGAAGGTAACTGGAAGCTATCAATGAAGTCTGCATGGAGGAGGTGAGAGCTGAGCTGGGCCTTGAAGAAATCATCAGCATTAACCAAGTAGAGAATTGTCAAGAAACCAGCTGAGCTTATGGGCAAACAAAAAGGAAGCAGTCTTATTTAGGATGAGAAACATGGAAATCCAAATTAGAAGTGACTTAAAAATAAGAATTCTCTTACATATTCAAGAAATCTTGAATATTTAACCCAGGCTGAATATGATGCTCTGTGGTAACAGAGACTCTGCTCTTTCTACCTGGATATTCTGTTATGTGTGACTTTGATTACCAAGTTTGCCTCATGATGGCAAAAGAGCTGCTGGAACACCAGCCATTTATACTTGCATTGATCCAAAAGGAAGGTAGAAGCAAGGGATAAAAGGTAATGTGCTCACTTTAACTTTGCTTCCCACAAGTCTTCGATAATGCTTCTTAACATTTTATTGGCCAAACTTACTGCAAAGAAGGAGGCCTTGAATGTTTTTCTCCCATTGGCGCTCACATGCCCAGATAAAAACTGGAAAATCTATTACTAAGGACAAAGAGGAGAACGGATTTCTCTCTCATGAAACCAATGCCCAAACTGTAAGTTTTTAAACCCAAACTGTGAATTTTTAAAGCCAATTTGGAATAGTGGCAAATGTGGTGATTAAGTCTGTTCGCCTGTTCCACCAAACAGTCCCTTGGGAAATTTAAAATCCCCTTGGTCATCACAAGACTCACCTTCCAGCTCTGCTTTCAGAATGGAGAGTCAGTAGCCACTCCCGGAACCACGGCGGTCCAGGAGGGAGTGGACCCAAGTCAGAGACTTTACCAAGATTTTATCTCACATTAAGAGGATGGATATTAAGCAATATCTGCTTGGGTTGCTGAAATGGGCGGTTATGATCAAAACTTCCAGCAGTCACCTGGCTGACCCTGAAGTTTCTGGGCTGACTGACCAATGGGCCAGCCTATTTTGAGGGACAACTTAGACGGCAGCTTGAAGCGAGAACCCGTGAGGATGGGGTTCCAGCTCCCGGAAGGCGCTGTGTGCTCTAGCCCAACAATCATTATGTAATGGGGTCTCCAGTCCACGAGTCCCAGAACTAAGGGGTAAAATTCTGTGACCTAGTTGACCATCACACCCAGTAACCTCTGGGGGTGCTTCCTGTTTGCACAGTTCCGAGGTCTGTGGATTCAGAGGTCCAGGCTTTCCAAGGGGATGCTTGTACCACGCAATAAGAACCCTACTACGTGTGTGACTTGTCTGCCGCCCTGTCATTTCAATTAGAAATCCTTCAATTAGACAAGGAAAGGAGACAGGATCCTGGCAGGAGTGATTAGCCATGAAACCTAGTTATCCACGTGGATTTTCTTGGTGCTTCCTAAAGGAATTTTTGATTCTAAATGTGCACATGGAGCAGCCACAGCTTGAGAAGGGCTTGGCGTGACGGCCAGAAGCGTGAGCTCCTGGTGGTAAGGATCCAGGCCGTATTACCTGAGAAGCCATTTGGGCCAGGAATGCAGTGACCGTAGTTTCTTTCTTATTGATGGGGGTGGGGGGATTTGGGGGTGGGTGTGAATGATGCCAATCGTCATGAGGAACTAGGTTTGCCATATAATGGAGGAAGGTAGTCACACTTCAGGGATTCCAGTGTAGGGTTGGGGTGAGTGAGGAAGCATATGCAGAGACCAAGCACACCTCAGAGACCAAGAGTAGCTGCAGCAATTCCAACAACTAAGTCCGGACAAAGACAACTGAAGGCCCCAGTGCCGTGGAGATGAAGGTCCGAATCACCCCACCACGCGGGCCCACTGCCCTGGGAGATGGAAGCCTAGGACGAGCGGCACAGAAACGGATTGAGAGCATTTGTTATGGTCTTGGGGCCATTTCCAATGGTAGAAACTCTAGTTTGCACTAACTTTTGTGGGTTGCATCCCTACTAAAGATGGTGCTGAGCCACCACTTTGAAAACTCTGCTGTCCAGGGCTGGGGCAAGGATGCACTGCATTAGATGGAATGAATTGTGTCCCCCCACCCAGCTCCTCACCCCGCCTATTCCGAGCCATGCCTTCATCCGGCAGACGTGTGCATGGGAGTGCCATGCCCCGGGCAGATTCTAGATTCTGAAGACAGAGCCAGGAACAGAGCAGATAAAAATTCCTCTCCTGTGGAGCTAAGAGTCTAGTGGGAGCTATGCTTATAAAAAAACAGTAAATAAGTGAATTATTTTAGAATATTCTAAGTGCCAAGGGGAAACAGAGGGTTGTCAGGGTGGACGGGGCATCAGGGAGGGCTGCAGTGTTCTGAGGGACGGCCGCGCTGGCCTCCCTGAGCAGTGGTATCTGCAGGGAGACTCGGGAAGGGGTGTTCCTGGCACATGAAACAGCTGGGGCAAAGGTCCTGGGGAGGGAGGCGCGCCGGCAGTTCTGAGGAATGGTGCGCAGCACACCCTGGCTGCTGGCTTTTCTTCTCGGAATGCAAGCGCCTGGCTTAAGTTGTCAGGCCCCAAGCCTCTACTGCAGAGGGCCAGGGCAGACACACACGTGACCAGCCACACGACTCGCTGCGGGGCCAGGCCGAGCGCCTCTGCTGTAAGGGTCCTCGTTGAGTTACATGACCACGGAGACCCTTGATTTGTTTTCTTTTCTCTCCCTCGCACCCTGCTCTGAAATCCCCACTCTTAGGTTTTAAATTCACCAATAAAGAGGCAGCTCATGAAACCCTAGATCCCTGATCCTTGACCCCAATAAAAGCAGGACCTCCAAGCCCCTGCTCTCCCCCACTCTGCCCGTGACCTCACCGTGCACCAGGCAGGAGGTGTCGTTGTCAGGTCTTGTGAGTAATAAGCTTCTGTTTTTCTCAAAATTTCCTTTCCTGACAGTTATTGCCAAAGGGCATTTGGAATCATAAGAAGCACAAGGACCCTCCAGCCACAACACTGGGTTGTGGGTAGGGGAGCAAGGGAGGGGGAGACAGGAACAAAAGAAACAGCGAGGAGGCCAGCGAGGCTGGAAGGGCAGAGGGAGAGGGAGCGCAGGGGCGCGAAGTGAGACGGTGCGGCCAGGTCAGCAGGCCCAGGGTGATGAGGGCCCTGCTCTGGGGAAGGCGGCAGCCTCAGGAATGTGCACAGCCCAGGGTGTGTCTGAGTCACAATTTACAGGAAGGCTGGAAAAGAGGTGCTAAGAATAGATGGGGAGGGAGGGCCAAGGCCGGGCAGGAGCTGGCTGGATCTGGCACAAGCATCTAAGCCAGAGGTGGTGGCGGAGGGGGGTGGTGGCATCAGAAGCACAGCCAGGCGGATTTCCTGCTGGATCAGACATGGGGTGTGAGACCTCAAGGCCCCAAGGGCAAGAGGCGGTGCCAAATGAAGTGGGCAGTGTGGGTGCAGTGGGCTAGGGAGGCTCCTGTGTGGAAAGCCAAGCAGTTACGTGGCTGTTGGGGCTCCTCCCCTTCTCCTATAGTCTCAGTCAAGGTACAAGCAGGTGACCCCAGCTGACAAAGCCTCGTTTGTTGCTCAGAAGCGGGGCACAGCCCAGCAAGCTCCCTGCAGATAAGAGAAGTCCGTCTTTCTACATCCACCCGGAGCTGCCAACAGCTGCCTGGTTTACACTGCTACTGTGTCTTCTGGGCTGTCCCTGGATCCAGCCTTACCCGCGGTCCAAAAGTCCCCACTGGCAGCCGTGCCAATTTTCCATTATTGACTCCAGATTTATTTTTTATTACTGGCTCCGTGAAATGTTAGGCCGCGCGCCTCACCTTCCTTAATCACATCTCTTTACTTCTCCACTGAGCTCAGAGATATTCCAGAGAAGAGTCCATGTCTCATCGTGCGAGGACACCCAAGCCCTGGCTGCAGAGGCCAGGCAGTGGACGATCCTTTGCGCATCCCAGGCTCCTGCCTTCCTCGCCATCTTTTAAAATTCAGATGAAATCCATCTGAGCTCCCCACCCATTACAGTTTCAGCAAGGACCACGTCCAATGTTCTTCCTTCCAACGTTCTTCCTGCGCCGGGTGAGGCAATGCTGAAGCTTGCCAGGAGAGGGCGGGGGAGAGACATACAGGAGGCGGCACCTTTTGTCCGGGTTCCAGCCCTTGGGCCGCCAGCATCCTGGGGCACAGCTCTGCACCCAGGTGACTACCCCAGTGTCCAACGGGGGGCACGGTGGCTAGCACCTTCCCTGTGGCCCCCCGCACCTCGCCCTGCTGATATTGTAGGCTTCCTGGTGACACTGCCGTCTGAACAACTTTCCTGACCCCCATGGAGAGCAGATTGCTTACAAGCTCCCGAGGACACATTTCTAGTAAGTGCTGTTGGCATGACATCACCGCAGCTTGTCCATTCAGCAGCCGCAGCCTTGTCCGGCACAGACCAAAGTCTCAACCTGGGGGGATCTCCCTTGGGTGCTCTCTCTGCCCTGGGGTGACGGCTGCTCCTCGCATCACCTCTTCTGTGTCCTCCATGACCCCTTACTTTGCTCCAATCAACACCACACACTCTCTGATCCCTGTTACAGCAAGGACGTCTCTACATCAATGGGCCCTGTTCGTAGGGACTGCGGTTTCTTTTCCCTCCTGACTATATGCTGACGGATAAGCACCTGTTATATTTCAGTCCAGAGAGTCCGGACTGATGAGACACAGGTGCCCTCGGAGACAGCAGGCTCAGCCAGACACCACAGCCCAGAAGATACCAGAATCAACGAGTCGCCGGGATGCTCGGTTTCCCAGGGCACATAAAAGTTCTGTTTACACTCTACTGCGGGCCATTAAATGTGCAGAAACTTTATATC